ACCACGACGAGTCCGCCGTCGACGACCACCCCGATTACGACGAGCCCGCCACCGACTACTACCCCAACCACGACAAGCCCGTCGCCGACGACGACGAGCCAAGAGGAAACCTCAACAAGTCTCTCTCCTACATCCATGTCCTCTCCGACTGCAACTGAGACATCATTGACAGGCAATTCGAACGCGTCTCACCAAACGTCGTCCGCAGGGGCGCAATCAAGCTCCGAGTCGTCGGACATATCGTCTGGGATTTCGACGCCTACTGCGTCACAGCCATCGCAGAGTGCAAGTTCAGAGACCAGTACCTCGAGTATCGGCGGGTTGTCATTGAGCAAAGCAACCAGCGCTTCGAAGGGCCCAAGCTCCGCCACCGTATCATCAACGTCGACAGTCGCTACCTCCGTCGGTGCTGCTGCTCCGTCTGTTGCAGCTGCATCGACTGTCGCTCGCGGATCCAAGAGCAAGTGGATCATCATAGCCGTTGTAGTGCTTCTGCTGCTTCTCGGCATCCTGACAGTATGGTGGATGCGAAGGAAACGCAGGGCCGACGGGGGTGAAAGCACGAGCTCTTTCGGTGAGTTTGCCGTTGCAGATCGATAGATATGCCTCTAACCAGTAATTTTGCGCGGTATGACGAAGATGCCGGCCGCGCTAGCACCAATTTGAGTCAATATGGCAACCGCGAACTCTCGATGACTCCCTATGTTTCTCGTACGGGATCTCTCGTGGAAACCCTGGTCGACGCGACGTCCGATGTCGATACTCATATGTCAGAAGGCATGCCATGTCCAGAGGGCTCGCAGGACGCCATTCTAATACCGGGCAGCTTATCACATCGATTCCGTAGTGTCTTCGGAACGACACACCGCACAAACCCTCCATCACGACCTGCGTCGGCATGGGCAGAAGTTGCCTCAGTGACAGCGTCACTGGTGGATAGCCCGGTATCGCGAAGCCCACTATCGCGCCCGCTCGATGCAAATGCTTTGACCTCGGAGAATACGATGCCCAATTCTCCGTCATCCCCCGTGCGATACGCGGACCTACACTCATTAACCCTTTCCGGGGTTGCTCAACCTACGGATCCCTCCCCTGCTTGGTCACCTATCTCGCCATCGTCAGGGAACCGTGGCTCTGGCGTATGGCATCCGATATCCTTTGTTCATTCTCCCACTGCGCTAGCTGGCGCGCAGGAGCACCTTCCCGAGAAGCAGGACTTGGAGGCTGCAGAGCCGCACACTCCCGCTCAGTCTCCCACAATACAGATGCCGCCGATTGCTTTCGACGCCAATCTTCTCTCCTCGGTGGCTCGGCATTCGCTCCGGCGGGCGGAAGACGGTGGCATCAGTTTATCTGGTGGGCCACCCCGTTTGCCAAACACTCATTCGGCAGATTCACCTTCCATCTTGGGCTCTCTTGGCGGAGGAAGTTATCAGACGCTTCCTCCTGCATATGGGGCGTATTGACTCAACAGGCGTCAGACGAGCCGCTCCAGTGGTACGTCGCTCGCCCACTGGCGAATACTCTCTGCGCTATCTCGACTCGTCTGCATGATTTGTACAATGGATCTATAAAGTAATGTATACTTCGCTAGGGCCCTGGGTGTTTAGGATCTCGTTCTCAGAATCCGGAATGATTAGGTGCGCCCACTTTGACCGCGATCGATATTGGGTCGATCTCATGACAGTGGCACGAAGAAACGACTAACCGTATTATCCTGACAGCTGCGTGCCCAGTGACAGACGCCCTGGGTCGCTTCAAGTTCTGCGTGAGTCTTCTGTCGTTCATCATCTGCTCGAACCTCATATCATACCAGAGGGCGGAAGGTGATAATATCAGCCTGGCTGGCAGTGTATTACCCCGTACTATGTGACAGAAGCGTTTGCCATTCGAATATATCGATGTGTCAGAGTGGTTGGACGCAGTGCTCAGGCCTCAGGCTTCAGGCTTCGGCGCGCTCAGCGTTGAACGTTGAACGTGAACGTTGAACTTCCACGCTGCAATACTTACGGTGAGCATGCGAATGCCGCGAACGCTAGGGTAGTCGATATCGATGTAGGCAGTGATGGTTGACGAATACACCTGTTTGGCAATCGAGGGCCAGCCACCAGCTGTATCAGGCACGCCATCTTGGCCCATTGGACTGAAGAGTTGTTTCCATGTATATTCCGCACAGCCACACGGCGTTGTGGTCTTGCGGTGGGCGTCTGCTTCGGTGCCAGTACGACAATACTAACTGCCAGTACTCATTGAAACCTAGACTGCAAAACGTTCCTGACCTGGAAGTGCAGGGAAGAAATAGTAGGCAAAAAGCATCCGTACGCTTCACTGTGATTCTGCTTGCCTTCGAAAGTAGAATGTGTGCCGAGTATGCGGCCGTACCTGCCAGTGTCGTCTTCAGGCGCGGCGTAGTACCCAATAGTCATGGAACTGCGTCTGGACCCATGAAGTATGGGCGCATATTACTGATGCGGCTCACGGCCGTATGTCTAGTTGGTATGGAACCATGCCTTCCATTGCGACTCAGTACGTGTACTGTCTTCAACAGACCCTGCAATTACGAGCGGTCAATATAAACACGCTGAAGACAGTGGTGACACGGAAGTACGTATGCCAGCATGTTCCATACGCTCAATTGATGTCAATGTTTCATAGATGGACATGCACTCCGAGGTGCTCTCGTGTGGTCTTTGCGGGCGTAGTTTAGCGAGGTACGGGCCTTGTGCGCTGGTATATCAATGTCAGGCCTGGCTGCTAAGTACATAAGGCCTCCCGTTCCGACGTGGAGTGATCAACCTGAACCCATACTCACCTCCTCTTTGCTCACTACGCTAACAGGGGACTTGCTGGACATGTCGATTTACACAGACCAGGCTCGTATCGGTGAGATGACAGGGCTGGTGGCGAAATTCACCTCCGACTTCCCCGAATGCCCCTTGCAGTTTCGGCAGATACCATCTCGAGTACCGGGCTCCATCGTTCTTGTCACCGGTACAACCGGGTCGCTTGGATGCCACCTCCTGGAAACCCTCGTACACTCGCCTTTGATCGGGCGAGTATACGCGCTCAACAGACCAGACCGTAAAGGGCGACCATTGCGAGACAGGCAGGTGGAAGCACTCCGGGAGCGCGGCATCGTAGAGAGCTTAGTCGACGCGGAGAAGGTCATCCTCCTTGAGGGTGAACTGATGAATCCACATTGGGGACTCACCGAGGATTTGTACAACGAGGTGCGTGCATGTCTGATGCCCTTTGTCAGCCAGCAGCTGAGCGAACGCAGATCCACAACTCGGTGACACACGTTCTTCACAATGGTTAGTATACCTTACCTTCTCGTACTCACAGTTCTCGACAATGACATCCTCCACAGCATGGCGCGTCGACTTTGTCTCTCCGCTATCCGCCTTCGAGCCCAACATCTCCGGTCTGCGCACGTTAATCGACTTCTGCCTGACGTCGACAGTCTCGACCATGCCTCGACTTGTCTTCACAAGTAGCCTGACAGATGCTACGAGTATGTCCCGCTTTCTCCTCCTAGACCAAGTAGCCTAATCACGATAATCTCTCACTGCAGAGGCTCCACATGGCCAGCAGGTCCTTGAGGACCCAATACCCCCTGAGTGGTCCGTCGGGATGGGCTATTCCGAAGCCAAATGGGTCTGCGAGGAGATCCTGTTTGCCGCATGTCGATCGAGACCGCTGGACGCCCTTGTAGTCCGCGTCGGTCAAATTACGGGAGGGAAGGCAGGCGCTTGGGCGACCACGGACTGGTTCTCGTGCATGGTGCAAAGCGCGAGCAAAGACGGTGTAGGCTGCTTCCCAGACGACCCAAGGGTATGTCTCCTTGGGTTACCGTATATAATCAGTATGTGTGCTGACAGTGACGGGTTGCAGTTGATGGACTGGTTCCCCTTTGAGCTCGCATCATCTGCGCTTCTCGACTTCCTCCACACTCCCCCTGCATACCTCTCCAACGTTGCTCCTTCGCGCGTCGTACATCTCGTCCACCCGCACCCAGTGACGTGGAGCGACATCGCGGCGGAGGTCGTGCGCGCGGTCGGCGGGCGGCTTGTGCCCTTCGACGACTGGCTTCGCGCGATAGAAGCTGCAGCTATTCTGGCGAAATCACAGCCGCCGACCACCAACGGGAGCAAGAAGCCCCGCCGCATGCGTGCGATCTCTCTGATTCCGTTCTTCCGTACACTGCATATGAACATGCGCGACGGCGCGCGGGCGATGGGGTTCCCGGCGTGGGACGGCCCGCGTGGCGTCGCTGCGTCCCCCACACTGTCGGATCCCGACGTCGCGCAGCTGGGAGCGGAGGATGTGCGACGGTGGGTGAGCTATTGGAAGAAAGTCGGGTTCATCCGCGAGGACGAGCACGAGAGTCCTATGCAGGCACGGCTGTAACCTACCGTAGCGAAAGTACGGTGCCGCAAGTGGTCCAGATTACATTTTCGTTGTGTAATCCTGTATTGTGCATGGATGGTGTAAATCGGTGTATGACTTCGCGTAGAAGACTGAGTCCCTTGAAACAGATGTGCCCCGAACCGTCCACGCACGCTAGCATATGCACACCGCGCCCTGCAGAGCTTGTGTGCACACACAGCTCCGAGTCGGCGCGCGAGCGGGACGCGATCTGGGATCGCTGACTCAGCGTCGGGCAGCATCGGGCCTGGATCTCGGCTGGGTTAGGTTACTCGGTCAGTCGAGTATTCCATTCAATTCTGCGGATAATTACGCAGTAAGTACATGTGCAGGTAGCTATGAAAAATAGGTATCTACTAATGTATTTTTTGTGCAGGAATATCCATAGGGAGTCGAACAATACTAAGGATGGCCGAGTGGGTGACCGACATCTCTGGCCCGATATAGTAGCTTGGATTTGGCCTGAATAGGCGTTCTGGATTCGATCACGTGTATACCGCGTGATAGTGAGCGTCGCGACCGGCACCGACGCGCAACTTCCCCTCCTCCCCCCTCTTCCCCCTCCTTGATGCTCGACTTAGACGCGCTGACGAAGGCCCACGATCTACCTACTTACCGATTGTCGACTTCGCCCGATTTCGCTTGTCTCATTCCACTGCTTGCTTTCAGTTTGAAGTGTACCCTCTCTAAGAGCAAAGATAGGACCATCGACGGACAACTGTTGCGCTCTATCTCAGACAACTTTGTGTGCGCATATATGCGCTGTTGTTTCCATTGCACTCTTCATCGGCTTACTGTGACCGGTGTGAAAGGAAGATCTGGCTGCTCTTCTAGGAGGCCATTTCCTGCTTCACCGCATCCAGTCCAATTCGTCTCAACTGCTCTAATTCACTCCGACAATCGATTCCCAACAAATACCCTAGAACCAAATCGAGGTAAGTACAGATACAACTGCCTTCGTATATGCGGTGATTTGCTCAACCTTCATAGTTTCGATCCTGCTTGTATGTCAGACGCTGGGCCAGGATCAGAGACCGTGGATCGTGCTTCGTCGCCAGAGTCTGATTTGCCGGAAGTCTCCGAACTTCTCTCACAAGCAACACCACAAGAGCAACAGGCGCAGAACACAGGCGACATGAACGCATCCGATGATGGCGTATCTTATGCTGGCGATCCTCCTGAGGGGGGAAGGACTTGGAGGAGGATGATGTGCGAAGTGGGACGAACTCCGAGGAGGACGAAGAAGCACAGAGTCAAATAAGCTCCCAAGAGAAGTCGACATCGTCTTCGCGCTCGGGAAAAGACGCATCCAAGAATCGCGCTGCCACAGCTCAACCCGCCTCTTCATCGCCGTCCAAGAAGAACACTACCACCCGAGTGAAAGCAGAGATGCGGTCGCCTCCTCTCTCTGCTTCTCAACACACAGACTCTCGTGAGGTTGAGCCGAAGACGTCCTCTTCGTCCAAGAAGCGCGCGAAAACTGCCACAAAGAAGTCAAACGCCGACGTGGCCGGGAGTGCGGAGGCGCAAAGCAAGGCAAGCAATGTAGTCGCACCTGCAGCAAAGAAGGGATTCAAGAAACGAAAACGACCAAATGAAGACGAATTGCCATCGACTGACACACAGCCCAAGTCACGGCGCCGATCCGACGACAAGGCCCCTGCAACGCAGCTGAACGATCACCTTCCACCTGAACCTTCGAGCCCCGATATCGTGGAGTTCATACCTTCGACGCCAAGACCAAAACCAAAGGTCAGTTCACCGCTTCCCCCGATGCATTGCTGATCGTCTCGTAGATCAAAAAACCGACCTCGTCTGCCTCTGAGAAGTATCATATCAGCGCTTCGCAGCCCGCTCGATTGCCATCTGCGGCGCAAGGCGTCATGGCTCCTCCTTCCCCACCGTCGTCTACACAAACTCCGGCGGAGCGCACATACCGAGGAGCTCGATGACCTTGCCCTTGGGCTCCCTACGCTCCAAAGACTAAGCACAGCCGAGCTCTCAGTAAGGCGACTCGAAGTCCGAACTTCTGGTATCTGGATGGTTCCGTCGTCGTCTTGGTCGAGAAGACGCTCTACAAACTGCACAGGTCCGTCTATCGCGCCCAAACTCAAACTACTTTGCCAGGCTCTTCGGCGATGCACTTCAGACCCCAAGCAACAAGCGGATCAGTGCGGATGTCGATGGCGACACCAGCGAGTTCGAAGAACCTGACATCGTCGAGCTTGCAGGCCGGTGTTCGGGCGGATTGATGGAAGGTGAGATCGTGGATAGCTGCCCTGTGTATCGGATCGCCGGCGTATCCGCGGAGGACTTCGAATGTCTGTTGACCGCCTGGGAAATGGGCATGTACGTGGGACCCGCTTGTCATGTCTATGTCGTACTGAGCCTTTTCTAGTAAGTTCGCTCGCACAAAACCCCCTTTCCTCACCATCGCTGCTCTGATGAGGGCGGCACACGCTCTTGAATCGCCGAATTACCTTGACTTTGCGACTGACGAACTCATGGAGATATGGCCATCAGAGCTGGGCGAGCTGGATGTCTCGCCAACGGAGGAGCAACAGAACTTCGCCAAGGAGACACTTTTGCTCTCCCGGCAATGTGACGTCCCTGCAGTCCGGAAGCGCGCCTACTACGAGCTGCTACGCACACCTGGCTTCGGGCAGATATTCTTCGCCGAGGAGGACGACTTCGTTGGCGACGACGACCTCACTTCGGACACACCAAGCACTCTGCGGTATGCCGACCTTCTCCGTTTGATCGGCGCGCGCGAACGTTTAGAGAGCGCGTGGTTGAAGCTCGCGTGCGGGCCACCTACTCCGTCTTCCATCCCCTGTGAGCTCGCGAAGATACCTGCAGACAATTTGAACGCAGAGCAGAAGCCCGCGCTCGAGAGTTGTCTCGCAGCGCGTGGCAAGAGCGTTGAGTGGTGGGCACAGCATGTGGTGCAAGCCTCGCTCTTTGAAGATGGTCTGCTGGATCCGTTGACGGGTCTTCAGGATCTGATCGATGTCGACTGGGCAGACGTCGGATTCTGTGGTTCGTGTGTAGGAGCGAGGAGAGATATGTGGGCGGAGGAGAGGGAGAAGCTATGGAACAAGCTCGATCAGTGGTTGG